TTCTATGACTACAGAATATAATTGACATTAGCTCCTCCTAACAAACCGTAAATAAAGTACAACGAATCCTAATATAGGCTCTAAGTTTTAAGAGACGCAACGTGGAAGTCATATAACGAAAGACACTCCTAAGAACACTTGAACCTGGAGTGCTCTGATACCAACTGTGATACCCCCGAATTTCCGAATGCCGGTTGGCCAGGCCCACGCCCAAATACCCGAGGATATCAAAACAAATTGATAATAAACGAACACAGAGTACAAAAGAATAAAGAAGAATAAATAAAATGCTGACAAGAAACTAAAATGATAATCTAATAATAAACCTCATAATATATTTTCATTAATTAATAAACTCTTCTGATACAACTGATCCTCCAAAAGACAACTCGGGAATCCATACTGTGTGGACCCCTAGAAAATCCAAACTAAACAAATGACAGTAATTTAAAACAGGAAACTGAATCATAAAGGAACTCTTATGTAGCATCGGAAGAATGAAGTAGACTAATCCCCGCTCAGCACGAACAACCTCTATTCGTGACGAATACCTGAAAAATAATGGTGGGTCAGGCCCACAAACAAGTTCTACTCTACTACAGTCCAAGCAGAGATCCGATACACGTATACATCCTAGTCAATCCAACAGTAACTAGTAGTCCGTATATATATACACACACACTAACGGAACCTCACTAGACTATAGGGTTGTCTCAACGTGAATAGTAGGCAACATGCAAAACGCACATATAGTGGGCATAAGTACCTAGACCTACCAGGGTACACAACTACACTATATCTAGCTACACATCCCTGACGATATACACGTCCTAACCATTGATCCTGAGACTCAAGCTCATATCATGGCACCATACTTATATATATATAATCTATTAACCATCCTATCCAGTATAAATTAATCCTCCATAAGTCATTCAACTTGTTCAGCTGACCTGACTTGAATATAAGTAGGACTTAACATTTTAGTTAATCAATTCCCTTATATAATAAATTAATCCTCCATAAGTCATTCAACTTGTTCAGCTGACCTGACTTAAATATAAGTAGGACTTAACATTTTAGTTAATCCATTCCCTTATATAAAATAGGTAGGACTTAACTGATAAGTTAATCCATACCTAGAATGCCACCGTCCCATACCGGTGCATTAAACCACACAATCCAACAATTGATGTAACAATTAAGGAAATACATCAAACATTCCATAAATAACTATGATAAATATGATATCAAGTTATCACATAATAAGAATGACTTATTATTTCTTTAAACTTCCTATATCATATGTCCTACACAAACTGAATCTTATACATGATGATATTGTATTATACCGTTAAATAAGGATTCTCTATATCCAATTCATCCTACACATTTAATCTCAATTGCTAAAATATTTTAAAAGATTAAATCCATTCGTTTGTTTAAAACATTCAAATAGCAAGCATTATTATGATTGAGTCTATTTAAATTTATTAAAACCCAAACCTAGTCCATATTTAATGTTTAGGAATCTTAGGCATGTTGCTACGTTCCATCATTCCACAAATATGAAAAATACGTAATTTAAACATGTAAAAATTCACATAAGAAATCAAATCAAAATCATGCATTTTATCAATTCATAACACAAGAACATATATGAACCAATTTCATAAAACCTATGTTCTAACCCAATTAAACATGCATAATTATTTAATTTTATGTGCTTAATAAATCCTGAAATTTCCTAGACATGTACAGAAATACGAATCAAAGGGAAAGAGATAGAAGAAAAACTTGCCTTAAACTTTCGGATCGAAAGTTAAACTTCTTCTTCCTTAATCTTGTCTCTAAAGGGTTTTTCTCCTTATTCCTTCCTTTTCCTCCTTCCCTCTCTAACACTATCTCTCTATTATATATCACGTGAATATTTCTAACCCCCTTTTACAACCTATAGCTATATATTTATAGGCTAAATAAAATAACCCTAACCCTTTTCCCAATCCAAGTCAACTTAAAAAAAAAAATGAAAATAAAAATATTAAAAAGGTAAGCAAAATATGTTACGTATATAATTTATGTATATGTTTATTAAATAAATAAATTATACACATTCCATTATTTATTAATGGATTATCCAATAATATTTAAGTTACCATAATATTATAAAGTAATTTAAAACATAACACGTATCAAATCTATGTATATTTTTATTATTTAAATAAACATATACATCATATTAAATATTACTACCCAAATTACCATAAAAGTAATTAATAAATTATTTTCTCTTTTATATATATATTAAAAAGGTAAGTAAAATATGTTACGTATATAATTTATGTATATGTTTATTAAATAAATAAATTATACACATTCCATTATTTATTAATGGATTATCCAATAATACTTAAGTCACCATAATATTATAAAGTAACTTAAAACATAACACGTATCAAATCTATGTATATTTTTATTATTTAAATATAAAACATATACATCAGATTAAATATTACTACCCAAGTTACCATAAAAATAATTAATATTACTTTCCTTTTTATATATGTATATAATATATATCTATATATATACATACATTATCCATGGGTAATAATTCATACACATCCAACCTCCTATCCAAGTAGTCCATGGGACCCAATTGGTTGGCCCATTACTACTAACCATAACCATAAAAGAAAAATAAAGTAAAATAATAAAAGAAAAGAAAATATTTAATTTACAATTAATCAAAACACCATTTAAGCACATAATCTAATTAAACAATTAACACATAGACAAATACAAATAATACATAGACACATAATCAAATAATCAAGTAATACCTAATTCAATTAAACACATAAGCAATTAGTCAAATAATTAATTAAATAATTAAAAAATACAATTAAAACAAATAAATAAATACCGAGACTATCCTTTTAAAATTAGGGGTATTACACCTTAAGCCGAAAATCTCATGGAACTTTGGCCAGTTTAGCTATTCGGAAATGGAAGATGCTTGAAGATCTGGCAGAGATGGGATTACAGTGTTTTGATGATGATGGTTACAGTGAGTCGGCATTCTTATTTAGTCTTGTGGCTCAACCTACTCTTGTTGTACGAGTGATTGAGTCAGAGAGACAGGACCCGGACTCAGATGCCATCCACGCTTTGATCTCAAGTGGTGAGACAGTGAAAGATTGGGCCTTGCATGCAGATGGGGGTCTACGGTTCAGGGGTTTGTTGGTGGTTCCCACAGTATGTCGTGAGGATGTCCTACGGGAGTTTCACACTTCCCGTTTTGCAGTTCATCCAGGTGGTACTAAAATGTATTACAATTTGAGACGTCAGTATTGGTGGAGCGGGATGAAGAATGATGTTGCACAGTTTGTGGCTAGATGCCTTACCTGTCAGCAGGTGAAGGCCAAGCATCAGAGGCCAGCAGGTTTGTTACAACCATTACCTGTAGCGCAATGGAAATGGGAGCATATCGCTATGGATTTTGTGACAGGTTTTCCAAGGTCACGAAGGGGCAATGAGTCCATATGGATCATCATTGACAGATTGACCAAGACGGCTCACTTTTTGCCTATTAAGGCAACAGACGATGCAGAGAAGTTTGGTGTATTTTATGTGAAAGAGATTGTAAGGTTACATGGAGTCCCTGTAACCATTGTGTCAGATAGGGATGCTAAGTTCACTTCGAAGTTCTGGGAAGGACTTCAAGCAGCGTTTGGTTCAGCGTTGCATCTTAGTACGACATTCCATCCACAGACAGACGGTCAGTCAGAGCGTGCTATCCAGATTTTGGAGGATATGCTTCGGGCATGTGTACTTGATTTGGGAGGTAGTTGGGAGGATCACCTTCCACTTATTGAGTTTGCCTACAACAACAGTTATCAGGCGAGCATCCAGATGGCTCCATTTGAGGCGTTGTATGGTAGACCTTGTAGTTCTCCTGTTTGTTGGACTGAGGTAGGCGAGACAACCGCCTTAGGACCCGACATTGTACTCGAGACTACTAAGAAGATTAAGTTGATAAGACAGAGGTTACTTACAGCTCAGAGCCGACAGAAGAGCTATGCAGATAAGTGGAGACGACCGTTATCCTTTGAGGTGGGAGACCACGTTTTTCTACGGGTTTCTCCACGGAAGGGGTTGATGAGATTTGGGAAGAGTGGCAAGTTATCGCCACGATTTATTGGACCATTCGAGATTTTGGATCGGGTAGGAGAGGTTGCCTACAGACTTGCTTTACCACCACAGATGGACAGAGTTCACAATGTCTTTCATGTATCGATGTCACGAAAGTACGAGCCGGATCCATCTCACATTTTGAGTTGGGTTGATGAGGATGTTTCCTACGAGGAAGGACCAGTTCAGATCCTTGACACTCAGCAGAAGGTGTTGAGGAACAAGACGATACCAATGGTGAAAGTCCTTTGGAGACACCACGGAGTCGAGGAGGCTACTTGGGAGCTCGAACAGGAGGTTCGGTCCAAGTACCCAGCGTTGTTTTCTTCCTCAGGTATGTCTTGATTTCGGGGACGAAATCCTTATAAGTTGGGGAGATTGTGATAATTCTAATTTTCAGCATTTTAGAATTTTCTGAAAATTCGTTAATGCAAGGGCATTTTCGTCTTTTCACTTTACCATTCGGGTTTGTGGTTGGGTCCAGTTACATTTCCTACATTTTAATTTATGTGGTGATGTAGCATTTGTATGGTGCAATTGTGTATTTGTGGTGTAATTAGAGACAAAAAAATAAAAAGAAAAGGAAAATAATTTCAAGTGGGGCCCACCACTAACTTATTTGGCCAAGAAATCTTCTTTTCTTTCTCTTTCCCGTATGCTCTCTCTCCCTCTCGGTTCCTTCTCTTTTTCTTTCATTTTGGAGACAAAAACTTTGAGGTTTGATTACTCAATCATCTTTCATCGGATTTAGGAACCGTTTGAGGCGAAACGAAGCTTGTAGCGAGCTTTACGCGTCCATACTATCAATTTCCATATTTGAGTCTTCCTTGGAGCTCGAATTTGGAGGACCTATTCTAGGGATTTCGGCTTGGATTGTGAGGTAGGGACATCTTAAGCCATGGAATCTTGCTCTATAATGAATCATGCTCCTCTATGTTTGGTATAGCATGTTTAATTGTTGTTGATTTTGATTAAAATGATTTAATTGACAACATGCTAGTTATGTAAATGTGTATAACATGGTTGAATGAAAAGTATGTCTATGTGATGGTTGTTTATATTTTTTTTTGAGGTTACTAACATGCTATAATGATGCCATGAGAACATGCTTATTTATTATTATGCTAAGTTCCCATTTGTCATTATATTGAGATCATGACATGAGCCTACATCTCATTGGGTTGCATGAAAAAGGGAAGTGGTTGTCTTGAAATGAAAATGGGGATTTGGGAATGAATGTTTTGGAAAAAAAAAATTGGTTTTGACAAACCCGGTCGCTGCGGGGTTACCAACGGGCCGGAGGTTAATGTAGCCTAGAGAGGACTAGGGAGAGTACCCTAGCGTGGTTGAGCTATTCGGGCCCCTCGACGGCGCCACGGGGTCACCAAGGGCCTAGGGACGGTAGCCAATCCTCATTTCGTCGCGGCGGGGTTACCAAAGGGGGTTACATTAACTTTGAACGTGATGGTTTTGAGAATGAAAACGGGGAGTGACTTTAGCATGCATTGCATCTCACTCCATTTGCATTTGTGTGTGATTGAATTTGACTTGTACTTGTAATTATTCTTCCCCTTCAACGCATGTCCCCAATCTCCCATTGGCCTATGCTTTATTTGGATTCACTAGGACACAAGAATTGTGTCTTAAGTGTCACCTGCTGAGCTATATGCTCACCCCTATATCTATATATATTTTTTCAGGTCTTGGAAAGGAACTGGTGGATGACAACCCACCTCAAGCTTGAACGGCGTTAGAAGTCCACTTTTGTATCTTTGTATATTCCCCATTATTTTGTAAAACACTAGAAGTGCAAAGATGTATAATTATTTTGTGGAACTTTGTCATGTAATATAACTAAAGTATTGATGATGTTTTGGATGGGGATTTGATAGTATGCAACTTGTTGATGAATGGATGGATAATCCTAGTTTGAAGCATTGTCTAGATTAGTTGGTTGTATCATTATCTTTTGTTGCCGTGAATTTGAAATTTGAGCCATGACAGGTTAAAAATGCAATTAAACAGGTTGTGATAGGCCTATTTTTAGGGGAGGTTATGCCGAATTTTTTATTTATTTAAAAAGTATTAGTTTTGAGTCGTTCATCTCAACATTGAAGTGATTTAATCCAAAAAAAGAGAAACAAAACCGTCATCTAATGGATTCAGCTTAGCATATCAATTCTAGTTGTATACTAAAAATCATTTTTATTTTTCAATATTACCGGTTTAAAATTGAGTATAATGGAAGTTAATTAACTGGGATATGCTAGCACAGAGTCAAAGAACTAGCACATAAATATTGAAGTCGCTATATAAATATTTTTTTTGAGTTCATAATGGAGATATACACACACAATTCGAACTTTTTGTCTTATTTACAAAAATTTGAACTTGATAAAGCTAAATTTATATAATTACATACATAAAATAACGATTCAACATGCAAAAAAAACTTCACGCATCAATTTTTATATTTAATGGGACTTGAGCTTCAGATTTATTACTTTACAACATAGAGTAGCTCTCAGTGTCTCACCTTTCAAAATACAAGGTCTAGAGTTAAAATCCCCATATGATGAAATTGTTGTGTGAGTTTATCCTTGTCAAGGTAAAAAAAAAACAGAAAAAAACTATATAATTCCCTTCCCGACATATATATACACAAATAGGTGTGGGCCAGGCTTTACATCTGTTCAACTCCAAATAATTTTGGACAGCCCAATCCAATACAATCTTCAAGGCTTTCCTTTGCTTCGTCCCCATATAATTTTGGAGAGTCCAACCCAGTGCAATTTTCCCAATAAATCTCATTCCCGCCAATTTTCCAACCCAGTACGCACAATTAAAACTAGAAAAAGCACTTCTCACTCGGTCACTTCTTTGTCCGGATCCCAAAATTTTGTGAGGGGGTTATCTTTAAATTTGTAGGGCAAATTTTATATAGTAGATCTATTTTTCTAATTTTAATAAAATTTTCTTTATAAATTTCAAAAAATTTAAAGTATAAAATGCAAAAAAAAAAAAAAAAAAAAAAAATTCATTAGTGGCAAATTATAATTTTAATAAGAACTTCATAAATTCTTAAATATTTGAAGTGTAAAATGAAAAAAAAAAAAAAATTGAGCGGAACAAATTGTAATTTTAGTGATGATATATCTTCATAAATTCTAAAAAAAATAAAATATAAAAATTCAACTGGGGCCGTGCCCCCACTCGTCCCATGTTGGATCCATGCCTCTCTGCAACTGTGTTTCTGTCATGGCGCCTTAAAAACTCAGCGAATTCGAGCGTAAAAGACTGGAGAATATCAAGTGTAATGGTGAAATAATCGCTTGTCTCAAGATCCATTCCAGAGTCAATGTACTCTCCGCTGCAACAAAGCGCCAAAGGTCTCTATATTTTCCTTTTATAAATGAAAATAGATTTGCATATATATATATATATATATATATATATATATATGTTTCAATATCATTTAATTTTTCTATATGGCAGAGTACAAAGCAAATCTTACATATATATATATTTAATATGGCAGAGTACAAAGCAAATCTTACAAAGTTAGCCCCGAGAAGAAACCGAAAACTGAAACCCCAATTGTGATTCGGAGGTCCCTTCGGACCGAGGAATGCCGCCAAATTCCTCAACTGCTAAGAAGTCGTACAAAGCAAAGGGCTCATCGAAGCAATTGAGGTGTTTCTAAGAAGTCCCATTTATGTTATAGTGCTTGTTCGGTCAAAGGGATTGATGAGGGTTCTAGTGATTTGATTGTGGAATTGCCTGAAAATAAGAAATTAGGTCACCCAATTAGGGTTAGTGGTTCTCTTAACCTGGAGTCACTGAAATTAGAAGAGTAGAGTATAGCACGGGTTGTGCCTGGGCGAATATCCTCTGTTCGGTTCTTTCCGCCGGCTGATATGAAAATGGTTGTTGTGGGTGACAGTTTTGGGGATGTTGGACTTTTGGAATTTTTTTTTTTTTTTTTTTTTTTTTGGAATTTTGGACTTTGGAATGTTGATGCTAGAGAGGAGGATGGAGATTGGAGATGGGATTTATCTGTACAGCCCTCATTGCGCATCAGTTTCAGGGATTGCAATTCAACAGTTTTCAGTGTCAAGTACTATTTTTTGCATTTCTGCTTGGAATTTAGAGTTTAAGGTCTACAACTTGTTTGTCTAATTTGAAGTCTAACATCTTATGCTTTTGTCTTGGGCTGCCCTAAAAAAATTTTGATTGGACTTTGGACTTGCGACATTTTAAACGTATAAAAATTATCAACAGCTATTACTCATCATGCATAAAATTTTCTATTTTCTGATATTCTGTAGCGATTCATATACTTTATCGGACCTTGAGCTTCCATAAAATATTTAATGTGGAATTATTTGATTTCTGATTATAGATAATAGGAAATCAGAAAAAGATTTTATAACTGAGGAATCTTGCCGATTTGGAAGACTGAACTTCTCCAAGCCACATTATACTGATTCCTCAGTTAAACTATCACTGGTACAGAAAATATAAGAAATTCAAAAGCTATCACTTGTTAAGTTGTTGTGCCGAAAAATTTGCCATCATTTCCCATTTGTTAATGTTCTGAGGTCACACGTACGCTTCCAGGATGCTGAACTACCACAAAATTTTATAAATTTTGTATTAGCATTAGAATTGAAAATGTTTAAAAACTCCTTATGCATGAAACTTTTCCTTTATGTCTCATTTCGCTGGTGTTATGATTTCAGCTGCACAAATCAGGACGCATGGGTTGTTAGATTTCATATGTTCCTTGCCTCCAGGTCTTACATCTCTTTTTGTGTGAATTTGCAGTACTTTGATAAAGCTGTATGAATATAAAATAAGGATTGAGGAGGTACTCATCAGTGGGTGTTCCGACAACCAAATGTCAGTGACCCATTTGAAAATTTTGTTTTGGATGTATATGGAAGTACTATCATGACCTATTTGAAAGCCCACCCAAGCCATTCTACCCAAAAAATGAAAAAGAAAATGGAAGAAGAAAAGTTCTATTATTCATTACAAATAAGATTAGATATTTGCAAATATCATCAAGATTTTTTAATTTTAACTTTTTAAAAAAATATCCTCTGCATTAACTATAATGGCAGTACGCGACTTCAATTTGCTTCTGCATTCCTGTACTTATTTTCTGATAATTACTCAATACAATTTAAGTTTATTACTAATATTGGTTATGGTGGACTGGTTTTCTTATATTGTATGCTTAGTCATGCTTGTGAATGTGTTTGCAGATGTTTACTTCATGCTATGATGGATTTATTCAATTGATGGACATTGAGAAGAAGAAATTTGATCAGGTACTGTGTATTCCAGTGATTATGGCATATTTTCTATTTCTCACCAGCCGAATGACGTGAATTCCTTATATTTTGGTGAGGGTGAGGATTATGGAGGACTCGGTATTTGGGATGCAAGAGCAGGAAAATCTTTAACCTTGTGGATTTTGCATGAAAATAAGATCAACACAATAGATTTTAAACCAGAAAACACTAACATTATGGCTACAAGTTCTGCAGATAGGACTGCCTGCATTTGGGACTTGAGAAATATTGATGCAGATAAGCCAAAACCTTTGAAGACAGTTTTCCATAAAAGGGCTGTGAAATCTGCTTACTTTTCACCTTTTGGAAGTTGTCTTGCAATAGCAAGGTGCGTAACGCTATATGAATCACATCGATAAATGTAGAACATTGGTGAAAATTGAGGAAAAAAGAATGCATGCTGAAATACCAGCTCTTTGTACATCCAAAATAAACTCAAACATGGTAATGCTTCTTTAAGATGCTATACTAAATGCACAAAGAATTTGCTCGGAGTGAAACTGAAGTATGATTCCACTAGTTGACCTTGGAAGTTTTTGTATTGCAAGTATAGTATCACAAAATCTGAAGTAAGACTGATGAAACTATAACTGATGTATTCATGCTATAAAACTTTACAGCCATATCTTTGACGACATTGAAGCACTTTTCTTCTAACTTCATTCATTTTCTCTTGATTTAAAATTAATTTGTTGTTCTTTAATCCAAAATATCTATATGAGGTATTAGCTTCTTGTGAGGGAATTTTATATGGATCTTCTGCCTTTTGAGCATGAACATAGTAGAATTATCAATTCCATTTTAGCATAGATTATGTTGCTTATGCCAGCAAAACTCTGTCACTCCATAAAAGTAAATAGAAAAATAAATGAAAGGGCTAAAGTAACTTGTGATTCTAAATGGCATTTTTATTGTTTCACTCGTGGTTACATTTAATGTTTCAATCACTTTGTGCAGTTTTGATGGCAAAGTTGGTTTACTAAGTGGAGCTAATTATGATATATCTATGATATATCATCATAACCAGACAGGCAGATGGATCTCTTCATTCAGGTATTGCTTTTCGTGGAAATGTTTATTTGACTATTTTTTTGGTTGAAACAATATGCTTGATGTACTTTGATAAAACTGATTAGTTTTTTCCATTAATCTTTGGTGAACTTGTCTTCCTTATCTAGGATGGTTTTTGATCTTTTTTGACACGATTAATTCACAGAAGATAAACTTATGCTAATAATCTTTATATTTAACTTACATCCTATTTTGACAAACGCAACGAACCCAAGTTGAACCAAGAATCACGATAGAAAAGTAAACACGCCACACAAAGAACACAAAGATTTATACGTGGTTCGGCAACAATCTACATCCACGGTTGGGATCCGGCGAAAGTTTTCACTGTGTAAAATCGGAGATTACAAGTTTCCAGCCCCTCACTCTATTTCTGTATGAATTTCAAAGTCTCTCTCTTACGCCACTCCAAACCCTAAGCGCCCTTATATATTGGGCTACAAGAGACTAATTAAGATCCACG